AGTGAAAAAAAGGAAATGAGCAACACCCACTCTCCTCGGTTTGCGTTTCTCCAGAGCGGAGTGTGGTACCACTTGAAGTGAACTCGGGCGGCGCGGTCCTGAGAAGAGAAGGCGAGAGTGAAGCCCTCGGAGTCGCTCCCGCCCTGCAGCTGCCCGAACGTCGCTGTGCGCTGGTTCCCGCAATCATGGTACTGGGGGGGTTGGCGCTGGTCCTTCTGACACACAGCAGGGGTCATGTCGTCCACCGTCTGGCAGAAGGTGTTGCTCACCACGCCGCACACGGAGTAGAAGTAGGTGTTGCCCCAATCGTCGAGCACAACATCGTTATCACCAAGCTGCCTGGCCAGCGGGGAGAGGTCGTAGGAGTAAGCGCCCACCTTGCCTTGGCAATCGCTCCCGCCCAATACGGCATGAGCCATGAGGCCCACCAGGACCAGCACCACTAACGGTCCCATGATCGACTGGCAGCCATACCTTACCTTCATGTTGTCTTGTCGTGGGTGGGAGAAGTTAATGTGCACGGTGGTCCGCTGCCCAGAGACCTTTAAAAAAACGGCAGGTTTTATCCAAGCAAAAACCAATTAACAGTGAAATTAAAGCACTTTCCCATTCCTAGTAAACAAGAGAAAACAGGCAACAGGAGCTATTGCGCAATAGCTCCTGTTGCCTGCATGGCCCGAAAAGTGGGCTCAACGTCTTGAACGCGGCCATAAAAGGAGTGTTGTCTCGGGGGTTTTGAACAATGCAAGACTTCCCTCGAGGGATTGACAAAGCGCTCCCACTTGCAGGTCGAGTTCCATGCAGTAGGCGATCATCCTATGTGACTCGGGTAGAACCACTCTCCCGTGGGCGCTGTCCTTGTCCTTGTCAGGGTGGCTGACAAGTTCGGCAATTAGCGGCGAGATAAGAGGTGGCTGGGCTACAGCCTTTGGCAGTAACCACATTGATTGACTTCTGGACCTGCTTCTTCTTTTCTGTCTGCTGTCGTGTGCAGGCCAAAAGAACAGAGCGGGGCGCAAAAGGTTAGTTCACCATCATGGGCATGTAGTGGTCAATTCTTATAAGAAATGCTTGTACCTCCGCCAAGGAGGGGCAGCATGCCCCAACGGATCAACAAACGTTTCGCCAGCGCTTGGACATCATGCTGTAGATGCTGCGGGCTTCAACGCGTTCGCCATCGTCGAAGCAGTCCCGGATGAGCAACATCACATGGCCGTAGCTCTCGGAGTCGAGGTTGGCGTTGACCATGAAGATCTCGTGCTCCTCCTCCATCGAGCCGGTGGCGAAAGGGATCCACGCCGGGTCCTCGGCCATGTCCAGCCACCCGCAGTGGCCGGGTCCGAAGATGTCCGCGTGCGTCATCGGCCCTCCTCGACCGTCGCCGACGTCAACGAGCGGGCACACGGTGAAGTTGTCCTCTTCGTTTTGGAGCCCATTGCAGAAGCGGTACAGCTGCCGCAGATCGTTCGGCAGGCGGACATGCTTTCCCAACTGCACGACACGATCACGCGCGTTTCACACACAGCACACACCACACGCATACAAGTATTGGCCACAAGTCAGGGAGTGAGATGGCGCGGATGGAGGAGAGGATGTACGCACGTTGGTGCGTAGCTGCTGCTCGAATTGATCGATGAGCCTCATCGGGAGAGGGTCGGCCACGGACTCGCAGACGCCGCCAATGCGCATCAGAAGCTTTTTGAATCCGGGGTTGACTTTGTACGGCTCAAAGTCGTACTCCTCTTCGGAGGACTCCTGGTCCTCTTCTTCTTCTTCTTCTTCTGACTCTGTTGTTGAAGGCCCTAGGGTGAG